CTAAAACTTGAATGTATTTGATGTGCTCACTGTAAAGAAGCAAATATAGTAATCTTAAACCAGCCAAGACCACTATGGGAAGAGGACTAGAAAGTAGTGAAGAGGTCTGGTAGACATGAACCAATGTGGGTTGCAATACACATGTGCATGGAAGCAATGCTAGGAATCTGTATAGCTGTCCTTATCTCAAACTGGCAAAACCACTATGTCTTTCTTATTATCTCTTATGTTCTCTCTTCAACAAAATCGGAGAACAAGAGGGTGGAGGGTGGGGGCAGGTGGGCCAAACAATGTATACACTTGTGATTAAATGTAAAAACAATAAAATAAAAGAGAGAGAGAGAGAGAAATAGGTGCAAACAAAAATTAAACTAAGATTTTATCTCACCCCAGTTAGAATGGCCATATTGAAGGGCAATAACAACAACAAACGCTGGCAAGAATGCGGCAAAACAGGAACCACACTGTTGGTGTAATTGCAAATTAGTGCAACATTACAGAAAGCAGAATGGAGTTTCCTCAAAAAACTAATTATAGAGCTGCCATATGATCCCATGTTACCACTCCTGGGCATATACCCAAAGGAACATGAGTCTGGATACAGTAGAAACACTTGTGCAGCCATGTTCATCGTAGCATGGAAAGCTATTAGGAGAAAATCTAGATGATCCTGGGTTTGGCCATGAATTTTTAGATACAGTGCTAATGGCATGTCCCATGGAATAAAGAGTTGATAAGCTGGGTTTCATTTAAGCCAAAAATGTGTGCTTTGCAAGAGAATGAAAGGACAAGCCACAGACTGGAAGAAAACTTTGTAAAAGACATATCTTATAAAGGACCATCTTCCAAAATATGAAGAAACCTCCTAAACTCAACAATAAGAACACAAATAATTTTATAGCTAAAGACCTTAACAGAAAATGTTAAAATAAGCACATAAAATGATGCTAAACATTGTATGTCATCAAGGAAATGAAAATTAAAACAAGAATTCCTCTCCACACCCATTAGAATGGCCAAAATCCAGAACACTGAGAGCACCAAATGCTAGGGAAGACATGGAATAACAGAAACTCATTTGTTACTGGTAGGGAATGCAAAATGTTACAACCATTTAGAAGATAGTTTGGCAGTTTGTTAAAAAGCTAAACACATGTCATCTTGTAGTCATGTTCCTGGATATTTACCTTAAACAGTTACAAATCTGTGTCCACATAAAAGCCTGCATGCAGGTGCTTTTAAGTGGCATCACTCATAATTGCCAAAACTCAGAAGAAAGCAAGATGTTCTTCAGTAGTAATTGCATAAATGAACTGGTGTTTCCAGATAATAGATGACAGAGTACCATTCAGTGCTTTAAAAAAAAATAGAACTATCAAGCCATGAAAAAACATGGAAGAAATTTAAATGCATATTACTAGGTTTAAAAAGACAATCTGACCAAGCTAAATACTGGATAACTCCAACTATGACATTCTGGAAAAGGCAAAACTATGGAAAGAGTATAAAGATCAGTACTCATCAGAGGGTGTGCAGAGAAAGGGAGAGATGAATAGAGTGAAACACAGGAATTTCACAGCTGTGAAACTATTCTATGTGATAGTGTAATGGTGGATATATGTCCTTATAAATTTGTCCAGACCCATAGTATGTACAAAATCAAGAGTGAACCCTAATGTGGACTTTGGTTTATAACAATGTGTCAGTCAGAGGCAGTTAGTGATTCTAAATAAATGTATCACTCTGCTGGGGGATGTTGATAATCAAAGAGGTTTTTCATGTTGCGAAGAACTCTGGTAATCTGAGTGCCTCTCAATTGTTCTGTGAACCTAAAACTACTGTAAAATATAAAATCTTTTTTAAAGAAATTGGTTTATAACAATGTGTCAGTCAGAGGCAGTTAGTGATTCTAAATAAATGTATCACTCTGCTGGTGATTCTAAATAAATGTATCACTCTGCTGGGGGATGTTGATAATCAAAGAGGTTTTTCATGTGTGGCGAGAGAACTCTGGGTAATCTGAGTGCCTTCTCAATTGTTCTGTGAACCTAAAACTACTGTAAAATATAAAATCTTTTTTAAAGAAATGGTGTTTGTAACCATATCTAATACTTCGTACCCTTTTCCTGCTCTACTTTTCTTCTTAGTGCTTAGTACTTACCACCTTTTAATACACATGTGCGCTGTGTTAATGGATAGGTATACATAATATTTATGCATATTAAATATTCTTATAATGAATTTGTGGCTGACTCGTGAGGATAATGGAATCGGAAAGATAGGTATTCGAAACGCAGTATTTACTATTTTACCCTGTATTTCTCTATGCATAGTATTATTAAAATATAAATAAGTCACTTAAATGTTTTTGAGTCTTAAGTGGACCATTATCTGAAAAGTATTTAGCAGTGTCTGGCATAATGACATTCAACCTGTATTCATCACTGCTTGTTGAAGTGATGTATCTTGGCAGTGCATATATTTAAGGATTCAGTCCTGGGTTTTATATTTCCTTTTGTGATTAACTACAAGTCAGGTTACTTCCTTTTAGTTTTGCCTATGTCCTGTGCATTCCATTCAGTTGGAGAATAATAGAGTACACTGCACTGAGATTATCCAGGGCCTTACATGAATTTCCAGAACTATTACATAAATTAAAAAGTATCTCTAAGAATCCATATTGCAAATATTTACAATTAGACATTCTAGCCTTTGTAATGACATTAGATAAAGCAAGCTTGGAAAGGTTAATTTTCTGCGGCAGAGAATTTAACTGATAGCCTGTTCTTTTCTTGTGCTTTGAGGGGGAAAAGCAGCTCTCTTATAAAGATGGTCTTGCCCACAACCCAAATGGACCTTTTAGGAGCACAGGATTCAGAAGAGACACACTATGTTAGACAACCTCTCTAATTCTGTAAACACCAGTTAAGCCCACATTTGTACTTTCTCTGCTGTACTGATTGTGACTTCTAGTAAATTTTAGTGGGAGTAAAAGCAGCTTTCATTAAGCTTCTATTTATGATTTTGAATATGAAATCAGATGTACTAAAACTGAACAGTTGTTCTCTTCCTAAAGTGTGTTTTTCCTTCTCTCTTCTTCTTCTGTACTGCACTTGGAATGCTAATTTATAATAATCTTAATTAGGTGGCAGATTTTATTTTTATTCAATTGAAATTTAAATTCCCATATGTCATTTTTAATTATATCTGTTAATGAAGGAAACCCTGATATGTTGCAAAAGTAATTTTTTAAATAACAAAAGAACAATCTAATCAATAAATGAACCCATGAATTGAACATAATTCTCAAATAGAGAAACCTGCACATACATCCAAGTGTTCTTTAAATTGTTGAAAGTAAACCTAACATTTCTATATACTTTAAATTACATAAATCTACATGTTGGTGATTGTGATCTAATTATTGTATGTTATATATGAGAAGCATAATTTCTTTTACTTGTCTAAGCTTTATATGTCTATATTCTTTCATTTAAAATATTTCATATACATTTTATGAATATTGAGCTTGTTTAATGAAAATGCAATGTTTGTGGTTTTAAATAATTTTATCATTAAGTTTAGTTTATGAAAACTAAAATAATAACAGTTCTTGCCGTTACACACATTTTATCTTACTAATAACTGATAATGCTTTAGGTTTAATGGGTAAATCAGTGTCAGGTTCATTAATTGTAGAGAAACTATTTTTAATATAATTATATTTTATTAGTTTATTAATTAGTATTGCTTGCTCTTTAAGCAAGACCAAAATTTAAGGAAATTGAAATAATTTCTGTTAAAATTGGAATGTGTAATCTAATAAGGACCAAATTTTATGTAATTTTTGTAAGTATATTATCTTAACATCTAAAATGTAATCGGTAGTTTACTCTGTCATGAACTTTATTTTAAAGCATGGGAAGTCACTAAAGTGGACAGCCTTTTCATATTCCATAGAGTTACTGAGCTCAGGCCCAACAAGTACAAAGTAATATTAAAATTTAGCATCTGCTAATTTGGACTACCTCTTTCCCTTTGGTAATTGTCATAGTTTTCATTATATGCTATTTCTCTCAATAGCAAAATTTAACTTAAAATTGTAATTTATAAGTACAGCCTTATAAAGAGAACCGAAATATGTCATATGCTCAATATATTCTGTTCCCCCAGATTTCTGATCAGTGTAGTCTTCATAAAACTCCATAGATAAGGGTGGTTATTTTAAAAGACTAAGATACTCACTTTTTTTATCTTATCTTTAGAAATGCATATTTAAGTATATTCATAGCTAAGATTAAATGAAATATCTTAGTGTATTTTTACACAAATTATTTAGTTGAACTCTTATGTATTGTATATGTAACTATGGAAAATGTGCTGGAATAAATTTTGGAGAAATAATTTATAGTGGCTATTTTCATGTTTAATTGTGTATTTTAGTGATGAAAAATTTTGAAAACCTTAAGAATTTTTTATATGGATATCACAAAAATGTAAAATATTTTCATTATAACAAAAAAATTATTTGACATAGTGTTTTACATAACATATGCTGTTCATTTTTATTGAGGGTTATGTTTATATTCAAGCTCAAATCAGGGCTGAAGAGTTTAGTCTGTGTGTATTGTTCCATGAAGAGAGAGATTCAGCAAGTCTAGTGTAAACACCTTAGCTGCTTTTCTTGTTCCACAACAAACTGGAAGACATTTTGCAATTAATTTGCTAAAATGTAAAGATTTCTAGCTTATTGATTTTTGAAAGAAAATTTATTTATATGAATTCTTACGTATTTTCATATCTCTTATAATAATGAAAATTGAAAAGACTAGAGAAAACTTATCAAAACTAATTTGGGATTTAAAAAAACCTTCATGATTTTACATAACCTTAAATGTTTTCTTAAATTTTTTTTTAATCTTCAAGTGTAAGCATGTACCTAACCTAGTAGAACACTTTTTATAGTGTAATAAATGTCTTAATTATACTTTATCTTCTAGGGGATATTCGTCTAACTCCAGAGGACTTTGCAAGAGCTCAGAAATACTGCAAATATGCTGGCAGTGCTTTGCAGTATGAAGATGTAAGCACTGCTGTACAGAATCTGCAGAAGGCCCTCAAGTTACTGACAACAGGCAGAGAATGAAGCCTTTGTACAAGAAATCCATGTCTTTTTGGCATAAGAACTAATAGTCCATTACTCTGTCTTCAGCCTATCAGGAGCACAGTTTTAAGGAAGACTTCATTTCCATCAGATGTGACAATGGCTCTGTGTGTATCAGATTCCTATTGAAGCATTCATCAGCAGCCTCAGCCAGTTTTCATTGTCCATTTAGTGGATCCACTAATGTCTGAGTGTATAGTGCTGATAATAGCAAGATCGTAAAACTCCATTGACTGCTTCAAAAGATGAAAATACACCTCTGTAAGATTATGTTGAGAATAAGCCTTCCTAATTTATACACATTAAGTGAATTTTTTAATCCTTAATGTTTGGACAAACAAATCATATTACTTTACTATAAAATTCTAGATTTAACTTTTAATAAAGATTGCCAGAGTATTCTAGATTAGAGATCATAGTTTTGTTTTCCTCAAGATTTATAAAGCAAGTATGAACATCCAAAACTGTTAGGGGAATCCAAAAGAGATTATGTTTAAAACTCAAATTTATATTCATGTTAGATGTAGCTAACTTCATGGAAGGAAACGTAAAGATAAAGAGGCAGCATCACTTTAAGACTTTGGAATGTTAGCTTCCAGCTGCTTCCTGCTATTCCTTGAAGCTTAAGGTGAATTGGTATTTGCTTCATAGGCAGTTTGGCTGCATGTATTAGAAAATGAAAAAAAACAAAATTTGTAGTAATGCCTGGAAACTTGGTGCTTTAACTAAGGTTCTCTGCTGCTGTGGGATGGATTCCATAGAGTGCATAGGTGGAATGATGCAGAAAATTGTAGGACTTTAGAGTCTCAATTGTTAAGTTTATAAGTTTTATGGGAAATTATGGACTTACTATATCAACTTCATTTGTGCTGTGTAAAAAATAAACACAAGGATTCTTTTAACTAGTTCGACTTATTACAGAGCTAAATGTCTGCTTTGATTTGCATGGTAGAATTGTCCCTTTTTGTAAGTATTTATATTTAATTCTAGGATATGAATGCTTCTATAGCAAGAAATAGTTTTGGGGGGAAAAATGAGTTTGACAAACTTACCTTAAATTCATGTGGTTCTTTTCATTTATGCCACTTGGATTAGAACCCTTTAACCGTGGGGTGAGCAACCTGTAGCCCAGGGGCTCTTCTCCTGTTGCATAAGGTTTTGTTGGATCAAAACCACACCCATTCATGTATGCTATGTTGATGATTGCTTTCCACAGTGGCAGAGTTGTTTGGCTTGCAATAACGTTTACTATGTAACTCTTCCAGAAAAGCAATTACTGACCTCTGTTCTAACTGCTTAAAAGAAAATGGACCACTAACTTATAATCATTTGTGTCATTTTTTCTCTACGTAAATATGTTACAGTGCAGGGTTTAGTAGAATGAATATGCAAGCTGAAAGAACAACTATAAATTATTACAAAAAAGCCTCCAGAAAACATGTCTCCTGAGAAATGTTCTCTTGTCTTTCACAAGATGCAGGGTTCAGCATTTGCATCTAGAAATCCAGTGCTCTGGTACATTCTGTAGAACATGATAATAACTGAAATCTGGCTAGGATGGTCTTTTCAAAAGAGATTCATATACTTCAGCTAATTTTAATTCAAAGCTTGATATGTCTGTACACCAAAAATAGAACTTTTATAAATGCCACAATGTACTCCCAGCACAACAATAAAAAAAAGAGAAAAGAACTATCACACTCCTATTTCACACCCTTCTGGTCGGCTCCTAACTGGGAGAGCACATGGAGGGAAGGGGACAAGACTGCTACCTTCTGCAAAAGAACCCTTCCCTGTAAAATAGAAGTGAGAGCACCAGACACCTCAGTATTTGTTAGAAAAATTAAATGAGATGCCATACATGAAGTGCTTAACACAAGGTAGCATTCCATAAGTGTGTGTTGTAAATTTTAATGCTATAATAATGTAATACGAATTTTTTAATTTATTTCCTAATACAAGTTGTCTTTGTGGCCCAGTACTTAAAAATGCTTTCCTGCATGAGGGACTGAACTTCACAATGTTTTCTAACTTTGTGTTTGTATTTCTTTGTATATAATCTGGTGATAAAATTAGGATACATTTTCTGGTGTAATACTAGGATTAGAAATATTTAATACTCCAATATGTATTCATTGAATAGCTACTGTGTGCCTGGTATTATTCTTTGCAACAAGAAATAGCAGAAAACAAAAAATACTCTGACTCAGAGTTTACATTCTAATGAGGAAACGTATATTTAATAAAAGTATTTGACCAGTGGTTCTCAAAGGGTGATTGTAGGAAATGTAATTCTCAGGCCTCACCCAATCAGAAACTCTAAGGAAGGAACAAATCTTTCTGAGTTTTCAGAGACACTAGGTGATCCCTAAAGTTTGGTTTAATCCCACACAGATCAAAATTCAAGAGGCTGAAAGGAGAGATTATCAAAAGCAGTGGTTTCCAGATCTGTGGTCCTTATAGCACCAGCTAGAACATTCTGGGAACCATACTTGAGGAATTTCTATATTGGATCGTAATAAATGCTTTGAAGACACTTCAAGCACATGTTAGGAGGTTCTTACAGTGTGTAGACTTGTGGGATTTAAGTCATAGGATAGGTCTCGCTAAGGAAACATTTGGGAGCAGAAGGAAACACAATTTCATGTGATGCTGGTGCATAAAGGAGGAGTGTTCTGGAGAGGAAGGAAGAAATGAGGGCAGAGTGTACAAGTGGGAGGAAGGCCAGTGAGAGAGATAAAAAGCCTAGGATTGACTACACAGCTTTTTGTAAGGTATCAACTTAAACTGAGTAAGGTGAGTGGCTACAAAATGGTTTTGAGCAGAAGAGCAGCCCAATGGGATACAACTTAATTTTTAAAGATCTTATTGGTCCCATTTTGAGAACAGACCACAGGGAGGGGAAGGGTGGAAAGTGAGAGGCCAGTTAATAGAACTGTAGTAATTAAGGTGAGCTATGATGATTTAGATCACAAATAGCCTTGGAGGGTATAAAATGTCGTTGGTGTCTGCCTTTGTTTTGAGTAGAGCCACAGTATTTCTGTAAACTGGATATAAAGTATGAAAATAAGAGTGACAACTGACTCCCCAGGATTTTAGCCTGAAGGCATGGAAGGAATAAGTAGTCATTAATCCCAGTTGGGAAAGTTGCTGAATTCCTCTGTAATTTAGATTGAAGTAGAGTGTTCCCAAGTACTTGTGACTTAAACTGATAACAGTGTTTTGTCAGTGTAACAGGGGTGAAAAAATAAGATAAAGTTTGGTCTGCGGTGATTGTCACAGATATCTCACCAAAATCACTGCTCAACTGGAGTTGGAAGCCAAGATCTGTTCCCATGGTTAGCGCAGCCGAAAGATTGCACCAAGAAAAAAACTCCATTTATAGGTCTTGGAAATTAATATCCCTGGATGTTGCTAGATTTTATATACAACTTATACTTTAGAAATTTGAGGTTTCTGTGTAAGCATTTTGTATGTCCTTTCTAAAGAAACTTAGATTGTGATAGCAGCATTGCTAAAAACATTTTTGCAGCCTGAAAGAACAATAACAGGGCTGAAGGGTTTTAGTTATCTACACAGCTTCCTCTCTTCATCCATTCTGTCCCCTAACCCCCTGCCCTCCAATTTTATCTTTACTCATTTTGTGTACTGAAGTAATTAGATCAAAATCTCTAGTTTGGCCCCAAAACAAACCTCAATCATTAGAAAAGTTCTGTTCTTAAAAAGAGCTCATAAAAAATTTAAGATATCCTTCATTCAGAGGTTACTAATTCTGTGAGTACTAAATGCCAGGCACTAGTCTTTAAGTGTTTTTATGTATTTTAATTCATTTAATCCTGCCTGTTGCCCTAAGAGGTGGATTCTTGTCTTCCCTGTTTTATAGATGGGGAAAATGAGCCACAGAGTAATACTTGCCTAAGATTAAATAAGAATTATTTTTAAGCTGAGACTGCCTATTTTGGACCAAAAGAAGTGCCCATGTAGGTATCACAGTGAGATGTTATGAGTGAATTACACATCATCAGGGTCAGCAGATGGTTCCTGATGTTTGTAGAAAGTATAGCAACTAGATTTTTCTCTGACCTAGATAGTATTTTGACACGGGTGCTAGACAGAAAACACAGAGCATGAAGTTGAAAATCTAATTGCACCTTTGATATTTGGGACACGACTGTGGCCTGAAATCAAATCTGTAAGTTCAGAGAGATTTATTTAAACAAAAAAAAAAGTGGGGTTTAAATAACTGAATAAATGTATTAAGATATTCCCTGGGGAAAGTGTTTCACATCACTATGGAGTCCTGGGTTTCCCAGATTCGCCTGTTCTTTTTCCTTTTCCATTTTAAGTAACATCACTAGCTTTCCTAGTTGCCCATTGCCTTCAGGATATCACCCCGGAATATGGACTTCAATGTAAAATTTAAAATGTTTATTATCAGATATTTCCTCTATTAAGTTTCTGCCTGAGTTTTGGTGTGATGGTGCATATACCAGCACTGGGGAGGCTGAGGGAGGAGGATCTCCAGTTTGAGGCCAGCCTAGGCTACATATCCTGTCAAAAAAAAAAAAAATCTAATGCCACCTAGAACTACATAGAGAAATAGCTTCCATAGTTCAGTGGCACTGGCATATGTCCCTGACATATTGTCGTTCATGTGTAAAACATCATTCATTTGTTCAAAAATACCAATATTATCTAGCATGATAATGCTGAATTAGAGGACACAAATTCTGCCTGAGGAAAGTCAGGAAAGGCCTTGCAAAAGAGATTGAACTGAAGGTCTACTGTGCGGAGAAACAAAGAGTGAGCAAAGAAAAAAATAATAAACACTATAGAGGGAAAATGTGGGAAATTAGGGAATTTGTATTTAGAGTTGCTATACAGAGTCATAAATGTGAGATCACAGGCATGGTTAATGTTATGGACTGAGTTGCATCCCTTCATAAATTTTATATTTTGAAACCCTATTTCAAAATATTTGGGTATATGTCCCATAGGGAGGTAATTAGAGTTAAATAGGGACCAGTGTTCATATAAGAAGTGGAAGGGTAGCCAGGCGCCTGGGGCTTATAATCCTAGCTACTCAGCAAAGATCAGAAGGACCGAGGTTCAAAGCTAGCCTGGGCAAGTAGTTGACAAGACCCTATCTTGAAAAAAAAAAATTACAGAAAAGGGCTGGTGGAATGGCTCAAAGTATGTAGACCCTGAGTTCAAAACCCCAGTACCACCAAAAAAAAAAAAAGCAATGGAAGGAACACCAGAGCTCACTCTGCATGAAGCCACGTGAGCAGAGTCTCAAATAAGCTCTTAGCCATGGTGGTTGCCTGTATTAGTAACAGAATTGTTTTTGATGCCTTGGCTTTGTTGTTTATATGGGGAGAGGGAATATTCAGAAGGAAAAGGATATTTGGAGTTGTCTAGTGTGCTATGCTTACATACCTTCCGCATATCGTATTTTCTGTGTAAAAATGCAATACCGCTTTAACAGTAGCTTGACAAAACTGCTTACCTCTTAAGTGGGTATAAGCTAAACTTTATTTACATTTATCTCCCCCATTAGATGCTCAGCTCTTTGGTTGTAAGATCTAGCTAGATGTGTGTGAATCCCTAGTAATTTACATAAGCCTAGTTCATAGTGAGTATCCCTAACTAGTGAAGTTAATAGGTGAATGGGTGAAAGGATTATATTGCAATAATCAAATAAAGGTTAATACTACTAGTATAGTATGAGATAAAACTATAATGATAATTGCACCCAAACATTTTAAAATCTGGACTGGAAATGTAGCTTAGTGATAGAGCACTTGTCTAGCGTTCACAGGTTCTTAGTTTAATCCCCAACACTGAGGGTTGTGGGGGAGAAGAAAAGGAAGGAAGGGAGGGAGGGAGTAAGGAAGGAAAGAAAAGTTCTGAAA